TCAAGTTTTCATCTCTGTTCCTTGCTTACGTGAGCAAAAGCTTTGCATCCAAACACCTTTAAATGAGAGTATTTAACATCATGTCCGGACCATACTCTATCGGGGATATCAAAGCTCAAAGGAACAGATGGAGATCGGTACATCAGGTAGCATGCCGTTAGAACAGCTTCACCCCAGAATGGCTTAGGTAGCTTAGCCATTCTTAACATACACCTCACTTTCTCCATAATGGTTCTGTTGATTCTTTCAGCCACACCATTATGCTGTGGGGTTCCAGGTACAGTCTTCTCATGCCTGATGCCATGCTCGGCACAATAATTCTTGAATTCATGGGAAGTATACTTCCCCCCATTGTCTGAGCGAAGACACTTCAAAGGTTTACCAGCCTGTCTCTCCACCAGAGCATGAAACCTTTTGAAGTATTGAAAAACTTCACCCTTTGTTCTCAAGAAATGCACCCACAATTTTCGTGAGGCATCATCAATAAACGTCACGAAATATCTGCTACCACCGAGACTCTCCACTTCCATGGGTCCACATACATCAGAATACACCATCTCCAACACATTCTCTTTCAGCTTCGAGGTTTTGCTGAAAGACACTCTATGATGCTTCCCAAAGAGACAATAATCACAAGGATTCAGTTTTGAATCTTTTGAAAATGGGATGAGGGACTTTCTTGCCAAAATTTGTAATCCTTTTTCACCAATGTGAGCCAGTCTTTTGTGCCACAAATTTGGCGAAGCATCATCTTCGACTGCATTCAATCCACCCTTGATCAGCTTCACTTGAGTTCTGTACAGTGTCGATCTCACTGTACCTCTAGCAGCTAACAACGATCCTTTGGTAAGACTCCACATGCCGTTACCAAAACTGTTAGTATAGCCTGCTAGATCCAATGCATGCACAGAGATCAGATTCAGACGTAAGTATGGTATATGTCGTACGTCCTTCAGTGTTATTGTGCACCCAATATCAGTTTGAATGCACACATCACCAACTCCCACAATATTTGCAATGCTGTTGTTGCCCATCTTTACTCTACCAAAGTCTCATTCTTTGTATAAAGAAAAGAATTCCTTGTGAGAGGTTGCATGGTATGATGCTGATGAGTCAATGACCCATTCAACACATGAATCTGCAACGTGACACTCTTCTTCTTCAACAGAGAGCAACACCACTTCCCCATTGATCACAGGGGTTGCGGTATTTTCACCATTCTCTGATCTGTTGTTCCTCCAACCTCTGTTCTTCCAGGCTTTGCAGTTTCTTTTGATATGCCCTTCTTCACCGCAGTGATAACACTTGAATTTTCTCCTGGGTTGAGATTGTGATTTATCTCTGGATTTGTTATCCCGGCCTCTGCTTTTACTTCTCCCCCTGGTTTCTGTGACCAGGGCTTGGGAGCTGCTTGCCCCTGAGTCTTTTCCCCTTGTTTCTTCATTAAACATACTGTCTTTGACTTGGGTCAAAGTCAGTTTTCCCTC